GGGGTGCAATGAGTCTGGCGGCATGGGGTACCATACTGAGGAGTGAATCGGATAAACACCCGCTGCGGAATGGTCCGATCCCCCTCTCGTGCCAGACCTTGTTTCTACCGCCGATGGCCAAGAGGAGATACTCGGTCGAGGAGGAACCCGGTAAATGGCTATTTCACAAGGAGAGCACCACATGAGATGTGGATCTACTTTCACTGCAAATGGGCAGCAGATCCAAGGAGCCGGAAGCAGAGTGAGGAGCAACAGAGATTGAAACCAGCTATGCGGGCAGCAGTAAAGCGCCGCGAAATATGGTAGTTGGAAGGGAAAGAGGAATTGAACGCTCGTTGTTCAATTTCAGCGGGCCTTATGGCAATCTTGAGAAGCGGCCTTTTCCAACATGAAGGAGTATGTCATGCACGACTCAGAGTCTCAGAGAGTCAGAGCGAGTGACAGAATATGATTTCAATTGGAAAGCTTGTTCCATTGGATGCCTGTTGCTTTACCCGGATCCGCCCTATTCCGCTTACCTTTTCACCCGGGAAGTTGCAAGCAGCTTACAAGGTGGTAGTGCGGACGCTTGGGATCTCAAGGTGGAAACTCTCTGCCCAATAGCACCCAGCTCTAGGTTAGGTAGTGGGGAGGGCTTCCAGAATGTTTTCCTTTGGATTTTCCACCAAGGTAGAGGCATTCATTGACTCTATTCTTGCCCTCTTTCTTTCTTCTTTTTTCCACTCCGCTAGCTCCGGACAGGTACCGGTAGGTCCTACTATCTTAGGAGGTATCACATGTTGGGGAACTGGTGTTCTGATCTTGTTGCCGAGGCTTACTAGTGATGCGTCGAGAACCCTAGCCCTCGTGTGCACACAAAAATTGGTCAGTGCTCGGACATTCAGAAAAGTGACTTCCCGGGGATCCGCGAACCCCCGGGCCCGACCCGTGCCGGTGCGGTACGAGCACGAGTACATGTACTCGAGTACTCGTATATAAGCGCAGTAGACTATCGTTTTGTCTGGCACCGACCGAGTCCCTGGGCGGCTGTGAGTCTTGAACACTCTGTCGCCGGACCATTACGAGTATCATACTTGTGGGTGACCGTTTCCCTACTCGAGTACTCGAGTACCGGTACTCGTACGGTACCCCCCCCCCTCAGGTACTCTTTTAGGCAAGCTCGCCGATGGCGGGGGTGAAATGACGTCCTCTACTCTAGCTCAGGCATCTTGGGAGCACTTGAACACTAGGGTTGCCGGTATGTTACCGTGTGATACACCGTAGTTTTGGTCATAGGTAAGTTAACCTGGCGAGCGGTATTGTTTATGCGGGGTATCCTGAACTCTGACCTTGAAGGTCTTTTTTTAAGAGTGAGACGGTCTCTATCATTGGTCACTCTTAAACCTATATGATAAAAGCTTAACCCACCGTGGGGAGTTGTGAGGGTTTGAAATTGGAGCATTTTGAGCAAGCTACCGTATGATAAAAGTTACACACGAAAGATAGGGGCCAAAGGCCAGGTAAACTCAGGCTGGCCTCCCCATAATGTCCTACGGTATGTACCGGTACGCCTCAGAACTACCGAAAATGGGGATTAACCTATGCCCTCCAAAATACGGCTGCCGGCATGATCATTCAGCACTCTCACAGTCCCCTATTACCGTTGGCCGGATCCCGTTAACTGGTGCTCGCTACCCTGATAACCTGCGTCACCAGGCCGATCATGGTTTAGTACGAGTACAGCGATCCGGTTGCAGTCCGTGATAACCGATTTAGACTACTCGTACCGGCATCCCTTGTCTTGTTCTGAATTATTGTCTGGATGGGTGGCCAAGGCGACGAGAGTGATAGTGCTCGTGAGAGGGTAGGGTAGTTTTGCTTGAAAAAGCCGTGTCGGGTGCTATGTCGCTTGGGCAGCTATGTCGGGAACCTAGGTACGCCCGTGGTGAGGATTTGAGCACAAGGCGGTATCGACTTCTACGAATAACGGTAAGTTATGCCCGGACTAAAATACACCCGGTCTAGGTACCCGAGTTCCCGACATAGCTACCGGAGCGACATAGCACCCGGTACGACTTTACTGATTAGAGAATTCCTGAAGTGTGTGACTTTCTGGTCCAGTTTGCAATTTGGGTCACTAACTCATTATGGTAATCAGGATAGAAAGAACTTTAGCAACACTCTGAAGCTGCAGTGCTCAGTACGAGTGCTGTACCGTACTCGTACTAGTACCGGTACTCGTACTCGAGTACACTGCAGACTGTGCACTGCTCATCCCGACCATGACAGAAACAGCTGAAAGTAGGGCAGTACTGTGGTGGGTATGGTCATGTTACTTGGACAGGCTAGCGTTCTGGATTGCGGACTTGACCTAAAAGAAATAGATCAATCAGGAATGGTTTACCGTTGTGGAGGGTGGCTAAATTGTCACTAATTGGTTAGTCCGGATGCTGGGATGGTGTGAAGGTCGGGAACAAGGGGAGGAAGATACCGTATGGTGCCACCGTGCCACCGTAACATATTCCCGCCTCCCACCCCCTTGTTGTCATCTCCCCCTATGCAAGGGATAGCCTATGGTGATGGTAACGATGATGGTGGAGACCCTCCCCCGCTTGAGCCTCTTGCCTAAGGCGCTATGATAAATCTGTTCTCATGCTCCCTTCATCGACCTCCTGAGAACCTATAGTTTCTGATTTTCCTCAACTACGGACCCGTTCGCCGACGATACTCTCCTGCCTGTATTATTTCGTGGCTGGCTTGTGCAGATGGCATCCTCTTCTTTTAGTCCCGGGGATTGCTCCTCGAAGCCGGAGCAACGGTTCACAGGAGATATCTCTCCTACACGCAGCTCCTTTAGCGAGCCAATGCACCCTGGGGAGGAGGAAGCGCAGCCGTGCATCTATCGTGCTGAAGAAATAGGGTCCTTGCCCCCGAGTTCTGATCATACCCATCGAAAACTCAGACCGAGGCATATCCAATTGATTGGTATCGGGGGAACGATTGGAACGGCTCTCTATGTCTCTATTGGAAGGGGGCTGATGCAAGGAGGGCCGGCGAGTTTGTTTATTGCCTTCACCTTATGGTGCGTTGTTCATTCATTCATTTATTTGCTTTGAGCGTAGTGCGCTGGGTCGCTCTCCGAATGGGCCCTGCTTTGCTTCCCTTTGCCCCCCGAGGGGGAGCGCGCTTCCTCGCGAAAAATTCTGCGAGAAGCTCGTTCACTGGGACCGAACCGGGTCTTTTGAAGGGGCGAGCGGTCTGGTCGGTCTCGGAATGGAGTGCCGTTCTCACATTTTTACGCGATAATTAGGTGTACGGTGATTCTGGGCGTCACGAATTCCTTGTCGGAAATGGTCACCTATTTACCGATATCCTCCCCGTTTATTCGTTTTGCTGGTCGATTCGTGGATGACGCTTTTGGTTTCGCTGCCGGGTATAACTTTTTCGTTTATGAAGCGGCCCTTGTGCCGTTCGAAGTAGTCGCTTGCAATGTTATTATTCACTATTGGACCGATGAGATTCATGTGGGGATCGTTATCGCCGTTATTCTCGTTTGTTTTGCGTGAGTTCTCTTGCACTGTATACATCCGGAGGATTTCCCCAGCGGACCCCCTTTCCGCAATGAAGGGTTTACTAAAAACTGGACCGGAATGGACTGCTGTTCTATGACAGAATCATCAATATATTCGGCGTTGCATGGTACGGCGAATCTGAGTTTTGGTTGGCCCTCGGAAAGGTCATCCTTATCCTCGGGTTAATCGCGTTTACCTTCGTGACTATGTTGGGTGGAAATCCTCTGGGGGATCGCTACGGATTTCGGTATTGGAGGGACCCCGGACCATTCGCAGAGTATATCAAGACTGGCGATTTAGGCCGCTTTCTCGGTTTCCTGGCATGCCTCATCCAAGCATCTTTCACCATTGCCGGGCCGGATTATGTATCCATGGCGGCGGGAGAAGCGGAAAACCCGAGAGTTGTTCTCCCGAGAGCCTTCAATGCAGTCTTTTACCGTCTTACTTTCTTCTTCGTTATGGGCTCTTTGGCCGTCGGAATTGTCGTCCCATACAATGATCCTGTCATGGCTGCCGCGTTTAAGGAGGGGAAGCCAGGAGCGGCTGCTTCGCCGTATGTAGTTGCAATGGATCGCCTGCAAATCCCGGCTCTGCCTCATATTGTCAATGCACTGGTTTTGACCTCGGCGTTCTCAGCGGGAAATTCATATGTGTATTGCGCTAGTAGGAGTTTGTATGGGCTTGGTGAGTGGCTTGTAGCGCCCCATGCCTAGCTTATCTAATGCCATGGGGTATTAGCGTTGGAAGGCAAGGCTCCCAGAATATTAGCACGATGCACAAAGAGCGGCGTGCCGATATACTCTGTGGCCGTCGTCTTGGCTATCGCGCTCCTGTCATTCCTCCAAGTCTCCAACAGTGCGGCAGTGGTCCTCCAATGGTTTGTTAACCTCGTTACAGCCTCCCAGCTAATAAACTTCTCTGTTATGTCCTTCACTTTCATAAAATTCAAGAAGGGGCTTGAGGCACAAGGCATTTCACGCGACTCTCTACCACACAAGGGGTTTTTACAGCCCTACTGCGCTTGGTACTCTTTCGCCGCTACAACAATCATGTGCTTCGTTGGTGGATACACCGTCTTTCTCCCAGGAAACTGGGACATCCCCACCTTCTTGTTCTCATACCTTATGATCATTGTCGTTCCAGTGCTATTTATTGGCTGGAAAATCATACACAAGACAACATGGCGGAGGCCCGAAGATATAGACCTACTGCGAGATAAGGAGGAGATAGATCAGTATGATAGAGATTACTTCCCAGTGCCGCCCCGGTAGGTCATCTCCGACATCTTCCCCTTCCGCCCTGCCTCGTTATCGGGGACCGTGCACCGCGCTGATGGTGCTAAATAGGAATAAATTCATGAAACATTGGGATGAGATTTTCGGTTAGTTGATTGGACTACCGGGTGGGGTGTTTCAGGTTGGGTTTTGGATACGCTATTTACCTGCATGGGGATTTTGTTTTTACTCGGCTGGATTGCTCATAGATTGTGTATTTGAAGTATAGACATGACGCCAATTTCGTTAAGGAGGCTGTGATCAGAGTGTTTGGGCGCCGCGAGCAAGATTGGTTCCTCATCCCATATCTAGGGGTCACCGGTGCGGTAAGGCCGAAGGCTGTATAGGGATCAATCCTAACTCGCAAGTCCCGAACACCTCGCACCCACATTTACACACATGGGATATTGATTCAACGATAGGTGGAACCTGGGCTTGAGGGGCCCGCAGAAACATCATCACCCGGATACACACTAATCCTGTGATAACCGTAGAGTAACTTTCCTGATATCATTGTTTTTTCCCTCTGTAATCTGGTTTGATCGCGCATTAACATTCCCAAGCGTTAAAAAGCGTGTTTCCAGAATCGATTCACTGTAGCGCAGTTGGTAATCGCGTTCGACCGTTCGAGAGGTTGGAAGGTCAAGCCTTCCCGGGGAAGAGTTCCTATCCTGCCTTCTTTTCCCGTCCCCGAGGGCTCTCCAGGTGAGAGGGTCATGGTGGCCATTTTCGGGGAAGTGGGGGGCGCATGGTGCTCCTGGGGGTTGCGCGGAGGGTTTTAGAGTACATGCAAGTGGGGATTTTGAGCTCTACTGGGATGGTTTGGGGGTCCTAGCATCATAAGGAGAAGACGGGTAGCTATGGTTCTCGTTATGTATGGCTAACCGAATTTCCGATTTCGCGATCGTTGGCTTCCCGGGAGGATTTACTGGCTCAATTTCCTGATGATGGGTGGGGAGATGGAGTCATCTTTCATCACTCGGAAGTGTTTCTTGTTTTGATAAAGCAATTGAGTCTGAGTGGGAAATGAAATGAAGATGGTATTGAGAATTCGGTTCAGGTGTTTTCAGTTTTTGTATCCAGTCATGCTCGCCAGGACTGGATCTCGTGGATAAAGCCATTTGCCGGCCCGGTAAAAAAATGTTGATGTAACGGGATGGATATCTGCCTCGTAAACAATATACCTGTATGGTATGTCATTCCCTACGGGGGAAGGAAGGGTTTTGGTGATTGTTCGATGTCTATGCCTTCCGGTAACCTTAACCTACCGTCCAACCCGGCTTGCCAACCCACCCTCTCGAGAATGGTTCTGCCCCCGCCAGCCCTCGCCTGAGGAAGGAGGTTCTTCCGCGCGCAAACTGATATGCTAATAACGAGGATTCTGGTGTGGGTCGAGTCATAGGATAGTAGCCGGATTTGTGTACCTGGCTAAGCAAGTTGGTGAGGTACTGTACGAGTGCTGGGGGGGGGGGGGGGAAGTATGGGAAAAAAAGCAAAAAAAAAAAAACTGTTTGATATTCTGTATGTGATATTGCCAAAACCGCTTCAAGATGTTGTCGAGAACTATTGGGGATAGGCGCAACAGGGCCACCGGCATTGAGGGTTATGGGATAAACTTCGGGAAAACAAATAATAGAATATGCGAGATATTCGATGGGACTTTGAGTATAGTAGATTGCCACATGTGGAACTCCGGCCGTGAGTCCTAACTTAGTGCAAAGTAAAGTCGGCAGTAATTATTTTATCCCTTCTACCCTTTGGGGACATCACTTTTGTATTATCGTCTGGGCTATAGGACCTGGATTTGGGTCCCGATTTCTACAAATACCATGTGTGGGAGCAAGGATTGGAAGTGAAATATCGTTGAAGTGCTCGATGGGTGACAAATATCTTGAGATTGGGCCCGTCTGCCGTTGGCCAGACTGGTTTGGGAATAACCCGGCAGCGCCATATCATCGCGTGTTGGGGGCTATTAACATATGGTGTGTTATATGCGCTGGACTCGCGAGCCCGTGCCGGGATCATGCAATGAGTATGTGAAGTTCTAGTCGATTATAGCTTCGACTATTAGGTGAGCACTGCGCATAGATAGAGCATTTGGGCGTTTTGCTAGTGATAATTCACGACCTGGCGGGGCTAGTTTTTGCGGCAGACAGCCTAGGCAAAGAATTCATCTTATCATATCGGTCCCCTGGAAAGTTTTCCTATTATATTATAAGTGAGCTGGCCTGGCTAGCGTAACTAGAGGATGGGCAGGATTCGTTGGTTGGCTGAAATAACCACTGGTCCATAGTGAGAAAGAGACCTGGAGAACCTATGCTCTAAATTCGGAGGAACGACGGGCAAAAGGGAGGGGGGGTGCTCTGGGGCAGAGCATCTGGATATAAAAAGAAAGGAACTTCCCCGGGAAGGCTTGAACTTCCAACCTCTCGATTAACAGTCGAACGCGCTAACCAATTGCGCCACGGAGAACTGTTGCTGGGGTTTCATTAGTATCAAAATACATAAAGAGATTCAATCTTGTGGTGAGCCATGACCTGCGACCCGCCTTCTTGTATCCCATAGGTCAGGTTAACGAAGGTGAGCATGTCTTAACTCGTTAGCATAAGGTAAGGTTTTGGGTTTACCATGGGATGTTAAGGTGTGTAGGGTAATTTGTTAGGGGGAATGTGGTGTCGCGGGTGTTCTTGCCGGAGTCTATTAGAAGAGCTCATGTATCGACTGCAGCATCTTTTTTACTATACGTGCGAGCTGCCCGCGAGCAAAAGCGCGCGACCAGATGGTGTCATGGTGTGGTAAATACGCTCTCAATCGCAAATTTGTTTTTTTTTGGGGAATATAAGGAGATAAATTCTTAAACAGGGGTTTATTTGAGTTGTGACTCGTGAGATTACCTAGGAGTATTTATTGTTCTCTGGGGGGATTGAGAGGATAAGGAGTATTCTGGTCTGAATCACTTGGTTTCTGAGGGGATTTTGGCGATGGTAAGGCTGGGAGAAACGGGAATGAACTTGAAAGAAGGGGGTATGGGGGGCTTGTATAGGGCCTACTGGTTCTTTATGCGGGAGTGGAAGGTATGTATTTCTGCCCTAGTTCCCGTGGTGACTACTTGGGCTTGCCCTGCTCTCTTGACTTGGTATAGCCCCTGTTCGCTTCTTCGTCAATCAGCAGCGAACCTCAACAAGTGGGCTTGCTGGCGCCTCCGCGCACAAATTTTCTAGGAATAATGAATTCACACTAGATCAACTTCGGGCGTTAGAAAGACGAAGCTGTGGTTGGATAGGCCGCGGGCACGGCCGAATCTGGACAGGTGGAGAGTATTAGGGGTCCCTAGAGTGTTTAGGAGGAGTGGCCTAGGCATCAAGATTGGCGTAATTTTCCGATATTCGCAAAGGGTCTTTGAGTCAAATGTGATCTAGTATCTAGTGTTTCGTAACTGCAGCCCATTGACCCGGCGGCCATGCTTGGTCAGCTACGGAGACGCCGAAGGGGTATTTGCCATCCCCGTTGCCTCGGCAGATCGTGTGGGCGGCCGTTTGGGGTCTCGGGGGGGTTGTGGGCCCGGGTGTCGGCGGTCTGCGATGGTGCTTTGTGAGGGGTCGGGGTTATGCTGCCCTCTAGGGGGTGCAATATCTCTAGATAGCACGCACTTTAGAATAGATGGATGAGGAACACGCTATGCATAGCCAATGGGAGCAAAAAAAGACTGGGTTGACTTCTCTGATGCTCTGCACTACTGTTTTGTACAACTGGGTGTAGAAGTAATGCTCAAAAGCAACGAGGAGCAACTAACGAGTGATATATTGTGATAGTTTGCGGTTGCGCAGAAAAGTTTTGTGCGTACCCCGCCAAGGAGCGGTCGGTTCTTTTGTTATCCTCGGGCTTTTTTATTAGAGCTCTGTAGTTATCTTGCATAGGGGGCTTGTCTTTTTTTTTTTTTGGTCGATTTCATCGTATTCTTGGGAAAACTATGATATAATTGTTTTGGGGCTTAATGTGTTGGGTGCCGGTGCAGTAGTTTTGGTTGACCACCACTGTGGAGACGTGACGCCACAGCTTCAGGGGCAAGCCTTCGAGGCTTTACGGCAGGGTTGAGCCTCCGTACCCCGCTCATCTCAATAACCCCATCATTTCATGGCAAAGTCGCGGTTAATCAACTCCAACATCGTCGCCAGAGATAATGGATACTACCGATGATCGGGAATTTGCCGCGAAGGCCCCACGGGGGACACGTGACTGGTTTGGCAAAGACATAATAATTCGCGACAAGATCATATCCTCGATGGCTGAAGTTTTCAAGCGCCATGGAGCGGCAACAATTGATACCCCGTAAGACACCAAACTTCCCTTTTGTTTTTTTAGAGGGACAAAAAAACAAGTGGCACTTAGCTGGAGCGGGAGTAGTGACTGAATTCCAGAATTTTTGAGCTGTTAAATCCGACAATATCGGGGCAGGATAAGTTCCCGATCTGCAAACTGGCCGATCAAGGAGGGCAGCTCTCATCCTTGAGATATTCCCTCGGAGACTCGCTCACTAGGTGGATATCACTGCGGGGCGTTCATTCTGCGAAGGTATATCAGGTCGGAAAGGAATACCGGCAGGTTGTGGATGGGTCTGGCAGAAGGGTCGTAGAGGAGAGGATGAAGTGCCATTTTGGTGTTGTTGGAGTTTCTGATGGACTGCTTGCAGAGGCGGAGATGTTGAGGGTTGCGATGGAGGTTCTAGACGGGCTTAAGTTGGGGGCTTATACTATCAAGATTAACCATTCGCTTATCTTGAGGGGGATATTGGAGGTGTGCCAAGTGCCCGAGGAGTTGCTGCCGGGATTGGCAGGGGTGATAAACAACATCAGCAAGGTATATCTTGCTCCGTGAAATGCAGTTTATATCCGTGGTCCTCTTAGGGTTCGGTTCTATATTCTGGGAGATGGTCGGTTTCTAACTGCACTCAAAGACATCTTGGGATGAGGTACACCTAGCGATGACCGCAGAATTGGGGCTTGGGATGGCAATAGCTGATAAGATTGGCGACTTCGTTGCAAAAACAGGTATGCATCGCGTATGCTATCCTGCAGGATTTGTCTGACTGGGCATAAGGAGGCAGGCATCTGCTTTACGACCTGCTACTTGACGAGGAACTTGCAGAAAACGTTGCGTTTTCCAAAGGAATTAACGAGATGAGGGACTTCTTCGACTTTTTAGAAATATTTGGGGTCATGCCAAAGGTCGCTTTTGACCTATCACTTACTCACCCCGACTTCCTTGACCTGGGTTTAGTCTATGAAGTTGTAACACTTCCACATTCAATCAAGTCAACCGGTGAGACTATTGATAGCGTGGAGATTGCATCTGGTGCTAGTTGTTGCCGATGGAACGGCCATCTCCACAAGGCCACTTTTCCAATAACCGTGATCGAGTTTGAACTAGAGGATATTTTCAGGATAATCCAAGCAAGAGTCCCTACAGGCCAGGCTTTAGAGACCGAAATGGACGCCTATGTCATGGCTATTGGTGGGGGTTTTCTGCTGGAGAGGATGCAAGTGTGCAGGCGACTTTGGGATGCTGGAATTAAGGTCTAGCCCTGATATCATTTAAAGCATGGACCGTGTTAACCTTTGTAGGCGGAATTCCTGTGCAATGAAGTTCCAGAGCCAGCATATCGATTCGCTGTTGTCCTTAGTGAGGAGAAAATAAAGGAAGGAAAGGTAAAGATTAAAGAAGTCCGCAACCCGCATAAGCGGGGACTGGACGTTGATATAGACAATGTTGGACTGGTTCTCGGGGAGATGATTAAGGAGAGTAGAGAATGCGCTGGTGACAAGGGGGGAGCGGAAACTGAAGAGGAGCGCAACGAGGACGGAAATTTTAGAGAGCGAGTGGATAGGGTTAGGGCTCACGGAGGGACTGTGGAGATGGAAGGAGTGAATGTTGAGATGGACTTCGCGAGGGTTAAGGTTAAGGACGCGGAGATTGAACTCGAGGGAGCAAAATTTGATATGAGGAGGGTTAAGATAGAGATTCGAGGTTCCAAGGAGAAGTAGAGCTGGCAGGGTGGTGGGTAGATATGGTTGTGGAGGAGGATGAAATTGGCAGGTTACTATGAGATATCCTAGCCTGGATACTTGAGACCACTATTTCTTTCCGCGTTTGAATAGTGAGCATTGACGGGAGTAGAACGTACTCGAGTATGCGCTGGCCTCACTTGTTTCTCTATCTTTAGCTTTGACTTACCAACTAAAATTTATCAGTCTATCGGAGAGCTCCACGAAACGTCATCGCATGGAAATACCCGCTACATAACTCTGGTCCGCCTCCAAGGACTCGAAAACCTTCGATGACAAGATGGATGCCCCGCTGGATAGACACCAACGCCTTAGCTCTGACCCATCCCCAACCTCTCGCCTCCCCCGAGGTTGTCTCCAGAAATATATTTCATGGCAGTTACTCACAAGTAATCGCACGTGTGTACAGTACCACAGAGTGTTACCGACCCGCTAGCAAAGAGAGGACTCTACATAGTGCGATGAATCGCGTTGTGCTGGATGCTTGGTGTGCTTGCCTACCGCTCCCGTCTAGTGCACATTGAGGATAATGCGAGTTCAGTTGGCCAGAGAACAGTGGGAGGCAACTCATACCGCATATTTCCCGTAATTTGAAGGGATTTCTGCTTCTCTGGAACGGAGTTATGCTGGGTACTCTCTCCAGCAACCTAATCTACTGCACTGTGCTCGTGATAAATTACAATACCAGTGGTTATTGTGTGCAGTTACCTTTCTTTCAAGTTCTGTGTGTGGGACAGACAGGTAAAGACAACGGTGCAATGGCGTTCAGGCACTTTGTTACTATTAATACTTATCAACCTTCTGAACCTCGTTAGGCCACACCAGGTCCATCACCGGGTAACCAACCCTTGGCACTTAACTTAATATCCAGTCCGGAATACAGTCTGGCGGTTTTGAAAGGTGCCGTGTAACACCGAAACTAACGTCCACCACCCTACTACCCCACTAAGCTAGCCCCCAGGCACATATCAACCACGGCTAGAGCACCTTTGGCTGCTCTACCTTTTTCTACGAGATGGACCATTCCCGGGCGGCTTTCTCGTTGCCCTAGCCCCCCCTTCCTCTTCCCCCTCCGGACTAATACTCTAGAAACCCCGGAATGTCCAAAATAATTTAGCCCAGACCTCCCCCTCGATGGCTTTCACGGAGACTTGGAACCCGAAACTGTCGGGATATGCAGATCCCCGGACGGACTGGGGTTCGCACGGTTAATTGTTCTGCTTAAGAGGAAGCATGACGTCGTGGAGAAGTTGCAAATTTTTAAGTCCATCTGGGTTTGGGATGCAGTGCCGGTGCTTGGGCGGGTTTCGCGGCTGCTTAGTGGTTGCCGAGTTAGCCTTAGGAGGCAGTCTCCTGAGAATTTGCGGACAAACATTGCCAGTTTAGGGAGAGACTGGGCTCCGAGGATAGGCTGGGGGACCGTCCGAGGGCGGGTAGGGACGGTTGTAGGGTAGTGGGTAGTGGGTTGTGGGAGCGGGGCGGCTGGGGAACAGTCTGGTGAGGGCTAGACACCGTGAATTTTGTTCTATCATATCCGTCTTTGCGTTTGACCTAGCTGACTTTTTTTTTTCAGTTGGGTATTTCGTGATTGTGGTTGGAAGTGGGCGATTCCTGGGCCAAACTTGATCTACTCCTATACTAAGGTATCGTTGGGATCGGGATGGGTTTGTAGCTTTGGGGGGGAGATAATACGATTGAGCGCTTTAAAAAAGACTTATTTAAAGGCTAGGCTAGAGACCCTCTTCTGGAGCGATTAGTCTCGCCGAATCCTACCTCGAAGATAGCCGGGCCGAAGCCCGCAATTGGCCTCGAGCCTATTGGACAAAGAATAAAGGCAAAAATGTCTGCTGCTAGCACCTAGCTTCTGCCTCCAGGCTCACATAATTTAGTGGTAACGACAGGCGTTATGTCATTGTCGAGTATAAATGGCGACGAACGTCTCTCATACTATGCGAAGGCGAGCCGAATCTTCCTGAAAAGTCTCTCTTCTCACACGGGGGGACCCTGTTACAGCACCTTCCGTCACGCCCGGAAGCGGTTGAGCACGTATTTTCTCACCGCTGAGATAATCACTAGACATCACTCGCTATGATCTGGGCTGCGGGTGCCGGTCGGATTGGAGAAGCCGGCTGAGAAGGTATACACGGTGACTGGGACTGTGGTCCGAATTGTGGGGGTTGTTGTGATGTTAGTTGTAAAACTGACGGAGGAAGTATACTCGTCGTCGACAAGACTCCTGAGGAACGGCAGGCGGGATGGAGTCTGTGGGCAATGAAGTGGGTAGTCAGAGGATTGGCAAATGGAGGCCAAGGGTACCAAGGTATAGGCGTTGGATCACTACTTACTATGGTACTAAATGACATACAGTACGAGACATCTTCTTATAAAAACCTCATCCCCGCCGCTGAACATTCACTTCCTCTCGACATCACACACTTCCTTCTTTACCAACACCACAACCGCTCATTACACCAACTCCGTTCATTCCAAAATGCACGCTCCAACCCTCTTTCTCCTCGCTATGAGCGCTCTCACCGCGAGCGCAGCCCCCGCTCCGGCCCCGGGATACGACACAAAGGTCGACGGCTACACCCAGCACCGCGAGAAGGAGCCCTACCGCTACTCCTTCCTCCCGGGATATTACGATGAAAAGCGCTACCACCGCACTCCCAAGAGCCCCCCATACGGGAAGGACTTTGTGTACGGCGGCGGTGGTTATGGCGGAGATGGCTACGGCAAGGGCGGCAGCTACGGCGGGGGTGATGGCTATGACAAGGGCGATGGCTACGGCAAGGGCGATGGCTACGGCGGAGGTGATGGCTATGGCAAGGGCGATGGCTACGGCGGGGGTGATGGCTACGGTAAGGGCGGTGGCTACAGCAAAGGCGATGGCTACGGTGGGGGTGATGGCTATGGCAAGGGCGATGGTTACGGCGGAGGTGATGGCTACGGTAAGGGCGATGGCTATGGCAAGGGCGATGGCTATGGCAAGGGCGATGGCTATGGCAAGGGCGATGGCTATGGCAAGGTCTGGGGCAAGGCCAGGGGCTGGGGCAAAGGCAAGGGCGGAGGCGTTGGCGGAGGCACTGGCGGGGGTACCGGTGGGGGTACCGGTGGGGGTGCCGGCGGGGAGAAGGTAAAGGTGGACAAGGATATGGAACACAAGAAGTACGATAACGAGGAGCACAAGCATAAGGAAGACAAGTATTCCAAGAAGTACGCGGAAGCAGAGGACGAGGTTTACAAGAAGGATAAGGAGAGGGAAAAGGAGGAGGAGTGCAATGACTATAAGGAATGTGCTGAGTGCAAGGATGAAAAGGTTTATGATGAGCAGTGTTGCTTCGAGGAGGGATACGGTATTTTTTTTCTACCCTTCTTTTATTTTATTTTTATTCTGGCAGTTTCAGTGGTAGCTAAAGGGTGGATGGATGGACAGGATTCGACAAGGGTGTCAAGTTCGACAAAGCCTACGGCTACTACCGCGACATGAGCAAGAAGTACCACGAGGACGAACACAAGAAAGACAAACAGGCTGCCAAGAAGGACTACTTCCGTTACGAGGAGGAGGATGAATATGAGAAATGCGAGGAGTGCGAGGACGTTAAGAAGTGCGAGAAGTGCGAGGAATGCGAGGACGAGAAGTGCTGTAAGAAGTGCGAGGAGGCGAAAGAGAAGGAGAAGAAGGAGAAGAAGGAGGAGAAGAAAGAGGAGAAGAAGGAGAAGCCGAAGAAGAAGTATGACGATGGGTGCGGTTGCGGGAAAAACTATGTTGTTGAGTACTATCGCTAAAAACCCTGTCGAGTGATTCCCGGTGTCTGTTTACAGCGCATGCATGGATGCTGGGGGTCTTGGGTACTATGACGGGAACTTCTTCCCCCCATGTGCTTTGTTCTTGGTGCCTTGGGGGGTGCAAAAAAGTTTTATAGCCTTCATATGAAATTAAACTTCTATAAAACAAATCGCGAATTTTCCGTTAGAGTTTAAAGTTTAAAAAAGCTCATAGTTTAGAACAGAAGCCCAGAACACTAACTGCTCCCATAGCTACAGCGACGGTCTAAATTTCCAGGTTATGAATAGTGGAGCCAAACGATATTACCCGTAAGAAATGGGAAATATTTTTTATGATATTATTACAACCAGCAGTCGCTCGTCTTCTAAGCTTTAAGAAGACCTTAACCCAGTGAAGGAAATGGTGAAATTTCGTTCTAGTTAATACACTCAAGGGCAGGTTCCCAGATTTCCGTATTCTCTAATCTGGGCCAAGAGGGGGACAGCACGGATTCAGAATCAGAGGCTGGTTTTCCAGATCTGGGTTCTACGTTGGGAAACCTGCCAGGAGCCCCCCAAATTCCATCGAGAATCCAACCGGTAGTCCTTCGTTCGGGGCATACCATACTGTGGATCCCCTTCGGGGTTTGGGGCTCAGGAGGGTAAAAGAGAATTGAATGGATCACCACCGCAAACCGTCCGTTCGATCACATACACATTGAAACAGATCCTCGCTTACGATAATACGGTAGCCGTGTAACGGCCATCAATATTCCGCAAGCAGCCTCTCGCAGCGATCTACGCAGGTCCCACAATAAGTCCATCTAGTTTGTGCCCCCTGGGGTTTAAATTCGGCTCGAGAAATCGAGCAATCATATGCAATTACGACAACACAACAGGACCAAAGAATGAGATCTAAGGCCTAAGATTTGGAGAATACGGCCGGAAATTCGCCGTTCTCCACCAATACGCATCGGGTTCTCACAAATTGTGACAATGCTTCACTGCCATTCTCAAACCCTAAACCGCTTAATCCCCATCCACCGGCCGGCATCTCCGCCGGTGATTCTCCCCAGGTATTGATCCAGCAGATACCCGCGTTCATCTTGCCGATCACTCTGTGCGCGGCATCTATATCCCTGGTGAAAACACCCGCCGCCAATCCCAATTCCGTATCGTTGGCTCTGCGGACGACCTCCTCTTCTGTCTCATAGGTAAGGATGGACAAGACCGGGCCAAAGATCTCTTCACGGCAAATGAGCATGGAATCGTTACAGTCGGTAAAGATAGTTGGGGCAACAAAAAACCCTCTTTCGAGCCCCTTCCCATCTGGGAGTGAAAGGGTTCGCTTCAACCCACCGCAGAGAAGGCGTGCCTTGTCAACCTCTTCCCCATGCCGAATGTACCCTTTGACCTTCTCGGAATGGCCTGCTGAAACTAACGGCCCAAAATTGACACTGGGGTCCAGTGGGTCTCCAGCACGAATCCCATCCCTAACCCTCTCGAGCAGAAGATTCTCGAATTTGGATTTGATGGAAGAATGAACAAAGACCCTAGTGCCGTTCGTGCACACCTGACCGCAAGAGTAAAAATTTGCAACCATGGCAGCATCGGCAGCTAGGCTAAGGTCGGCCTCGGGTAACACGATGAAGGGGGATTTTCCCCCTAGCTCTAACGTAACATTTTTGAGCGACGAACCGGCGGCAGAGGCGTAAACCTTTTTCCCGGTTTCCACTTGACCAGTGAACGAGCTGCACGGTTAGGTCAGCAGGGGCTAAGATGTGGAGGGGAGGACGGACATTTTAGCCACCCCGGAACAGTTGCCGAGCCAAGCCCCCACACCCCCGCTTCCATGCACAACATTAAATACCCCTGTGGGAAGGCCGGCGGCCGTGAGGACCTCAGCGAGGATGTTTGCGGTGAGGGGTGTAACTTCCGACGGTTTGAAGATGAAGGTATTTCCTGCTGCTAGCGCAGGTGCACACTTCCAAAGTGCTCTGGTAATTTAAAAAGGTCAAAATTGAAATGTAGAAGACTCGCGAGAATCCAGGACATGATGGGAAAAGGAAGAAAAATGAGATGGGCATGATGGAAGCCCGGAGCCCGGAGCAGGTTGGGATCCGGAAACGGTCAAACTTACATTTGGATCGGGTAATTCCATGCGCCTGCCAATAGTTGAGGTAGTCAGAAATTGGAAGGGAAGGAAGGGAGGAGAGAGATTTATCACCAATCCCCACACAAACACCCAATGGCTCCTTGGTAGTGTAGAACCACGCCTTCTCCCGAAGTCGAACCGTTTTCCCTTCCAAGCCGCTCAGACAAATGCCGGCAAAGTATTCCAGGACATCAGCACCACCGGGTACGTCGAGAGTGCTTGTCTCGGAGAAGGGCTTTCCGGTATCGAGGCTCTCGACACGGGCAATTTCATCGCTCCTGCCCCGCAGAATCGAAACCGCCTTGTTAAGTATACGGGAACGCTCAATTGGCGTTGTCTTGGACCAAGATTCGAATGCCTTCGTAGCGGCATCGACAGCATATTGAAGATCCCTTGGTGAGGCCTCATATATCCTAGCGAGTGGAGTGTTTGTAGCCGGGTTAATTGATGTGAAGAAAGTGGGATTCTCCTCCACGGAAGGAGAAAAAGTGCCGTCAATGAATAGAAGCTGGTCGGGAAACATGGTTTGTAGTTGTTGGATAGGTCTGTGTTTGCTGTAAGAAAAAGGGAAGCTGAAGGGAGAAAAGGGACGCAATGAGGGAATCCGCACAGAATTCTGTCGTATCAGACTACCGGTACTATCCTTCCCCCTTCGCATGACCTCGGGCCCGGAAAAACCATGCGGGCATGATATGATATCATATGATAAAACAAAAATCCAGCGTATATCTAGGCACGACAAGGCAGAGATGCAAATACCCGTTCCTAACTTACCGGCAATTCTCAGCGGTTAGACTGAGGGGCACAAGGTCTCGTCAATCATTCGATGCTGGCCCGCGCCCCTGATATGATAGGATGATCGGTGAGTTCCCTGTAGACAATTAAAAAGCATTTTCTAAAGTCTCACCTTGACTGTCTATTGCATTATATATAACCTGACAGAATTAGCGAGATCACTTACCCCGGATTTCCTATCGCTGCTAAACATTCCCAGTACCCGTTAAATTACATTTCGACATGTCACCGTTTCTGCCCACAGATACCGGCGCGCAATACCATAATATTCCGCACGCAAATAAGTTACCCCCTACATCCCCGCCCTGATGTGAGTCCCTATTGCTGATCATTAAGCCCACTATCTTTCCCTCCACCTACCCCTCGATTTCTATTAGGTCACTCCCCATATTCCCACATAGCTTGCCTGTGCCCTGGAAAGCTGTTTGCAATTTACGCCACCCAGCCCCTTCCCACACGGCTGCTATGTACCATACTCCCTATGGATGACAATCCCGACCCCGCTATTCACTCTCACTGTTTACTCCCACCGGTCGTGAGCATCCTAACCGTTTCCTTTGCAGCCCAAGTTGATTGTAGAAAAAGGGCCGAAACCACCCTCGCTGTTCTATGCGCAATTGGGAGTACTGTCTTCCGATCTAGAGAGCTTGCTCCCAAACTCGGGGGCCCGTTCTTTGATACATGGCCTTGGGCTCGTGAACATATAATTTAGCATAAAATTGAAGAGGCTTATACGTACGAACCAACCTCACCATAGCTCAAGGAACCAATTTCTATCTCCTAGCACTCCATTGTACGGTGAAATGTACCTAGAAACCCCCGCTGGGTCGATTAGGTCGCCCCATGCCCTCTTCTACCCTGGGGGTCTATTTACAGAACGACCTAGCATCTCGTACAAGCGCGACCGAACTGACAGCACAGGGAGAGAGAAGGCAGTGCAAAAAAACTAAACCAACAGACGTCTCCGACCCATTTCCATCTCTCCTGGGGTCTCGAGGGCAATTGGGAACTATGTACTTCGGATGCTCCTTCTGGCGGATATCCTGCGGACTTGATCTTTGTAGTTCCAACATGGGCCCGGTCCACGGTTCTCGGGGTATTCTTTTTGGGGGGAGGTTTGGGCCGGACTGCTAGGTTATATAATTCTCCGGTAGCCTCTGTGTTGGTAGCTGGGAGGAGCAGCGGTAAAAGTGCCAAAGGATGCCTGAACCCTAGATCTATCTCGGCGTATTGTCAATGACAGGTTTGAGAAAAAGGATATGTACAGTACTACGGTGAAAATGCGCTCTAGTGCTTTCACCATTTCCACTACTAGCATTAGCAGCAACTTCTCTTTGCCCGCCCTGAACCCAAACTATGATACCACCAAAACATTCCAAAAAAAAAACCCCCACTATGTCCATTTAGCATCACCAATAATCACTCGCCCAACCCAGCTGAGACTAAACGGCGGACATTCGCATTGTCTTTCTTTTGTTTCTTTGAAATTCCAAGGCGCAATCCGAGTTACCGACCGGCCTCAAGTGTCCTTACGATCTAACCAAAATCCCTACTTTTTGGGACATATAAAAAACCCACAGCGAGACCGCCATCAACCCCTCCCAGTCGGGTCTCGAGACGAAGGAGCCCCACCATGACAGGACCACCCGCCAACCGTAGCCCACCCCCACCCCACTCCTAGAGCAGACAGACCGCCCAAATACAAACACCAGACATCCCAAAACTACCGAAGCTCAAGGGCTTACTCCCCCCATGAATTGTTCTGATCTAGACACCTTTTACGGACACATCTCCTCCTGAAGAATGTTTCCGAGCTCCCAGTTCCCGCGCGATTGTTCTTGCGTCAGCATCCGCAATTCCTCCGGAGTCAAGCCACGAAAATTTGAGAAATCTGTCGGGTTCGCTGGGCAGGCAGGATTAACCACTTAAACCAGACCTAGCCGAAGGAACATATGTGCCAACCCGGGGAAACCAAACACATTGGAAGCCTTCCTCCCCCAGGTAAGACATGGTAATTTAGCTCGGCTACCGGCTAGTGGATTTTTGGCCTTGAAAGGGCTCTCGCGCCGCAAGGGGTGGAAGCAGGTTTATTTACAGTGTTCCCAAGCGTCCAGTCCGTCCGTCCCTGTCTTCGGACGGGACGGACACCGGTTTCTGGAACTCTGCCCTGGACGGATGCCCGTCCTGTGGTCCGTCCTAACTTCTGCCCGGGACGGCCGGGCCCTGGCGAGGACGGCCTGAAGATGCCATTTGTATCAAGACTCCCGGGCCCGGGCGTCGACCCCTCTAACGGTGGTCTTTATCAAAGACGGACGCCATGCTCCGCGGCCCTTACCCACCCTGCCCGGGACGGTTAGGGACACTGGGCAGGTAGCACTTGTGTTGCGTTTTAGAGAGAACTCGGGGGGTGACGTGTGCGGGAGGGCAATACGCTACTCGGTACTGCTAAGGCTACAGAACCTGGGATCTGGTATTGTCGATTAGTTCCCTAATTATAATTAGGTTCAGCATAGCTACGGTATCAATGAGCTCGCTGGCTGCTTGCGGTAATGCTTACAGCGGTACAGTACACAACACTCGCTAATTATCTATTCGTTTTTCTAGAAGACACCTCTCTGGGACCTTCCTGAGACGTTTTCTGCGAGTAGGCTATCACTCGGCAAAGACAAAGCCCGCAGTCCTATCAGAGCGGGGCTAAAATGTGTGCTTCCACTCTTTAAAGCACCTTGCAGCTTTGTAGAATGGTTTCTTTGTTTCCTGTCTCATAGGTGAGAATATAGCTGTCGTCCATTTGGAGAATTTCCGGATGATCAATGCAAAACCAGAGGGTTCGGACCGCTTTCCTATAGAGCACTTGTGTCCAGTTTAAATATTCCGAATCCTTACTTTTTCCATGACCGATTCAAGAACATTCAGGATCACTTCACGGAGGTTAGCTCTAAAGGAAATAAGTTACCAGCGAACTCTCCCCTAAACATTCCTACCTGAAATCCGCATCCTACTAGCAATCATCCCACCAACTCATCTCACGTTGTAGTGCCCCATTACCCAACAATAATTGTTCTTGGCTGTTGATTGCGGGCGGCGGGAAATGTGGAACGAATGAAATATACGATTGAGTTAGTGAAAAAAACTAAAAATCCCCGTATTCGGCTGTGACTCCGTCCATCGGGGACCCAGCGTTATTGCGAAAAGACTGGGTAAGATATTTCAAAATATGTGCAGAAATCAAAGTCCACCTCCTACACCACGAGAGTCCCTAACGTTCTGTACAAAAGAAGGTAAGGTAAGGACAGAGAACGTTTTCCTAGATCCCGCAAAATAAAGGAAACATACTCGAGTAGAGCTAGCACTCCAACCCCTAGATATATCTGTCTCTATACCATCATTCCCGGGGATTTTCTGCCTACACCCCGCCGGTATTTCAGCACTCCATCGGACACGTGCATGTTCCCTCTCCTAGCTTCCTCCAGCATCAACAACTGTGACCCTCCAAGCTCCCGAGAGGATCCCTCAGCAATTAAACCCCACAAATTGCTGCTTCTTCTCTTTTTCGAAATTGGGCTCTCTTGCTAACCAAGGGGTTGATTGAGTTGGGCTTAGTGGGCTGAGTTAGGCCCCATTTAGGCTAGGCCTCTTCCTAAGAAACTAAGACGAGCAAAAGTAAACAAGGGTACCACCAAGGTACGAGTACAAGTAGAGATGAAACTACAAGTCAGACAGTGGATATTTAGCATTCGCCTGAAATACGTGCTAAGACAGACCTCGCCTACCGATATTCTGGTAAACTATCACCATACAAGCAAAGATCTTCGCTTTATGAACCCCCCTACAGGGTATGGCAGATCTGGCAGACGAGCGACCCGCCGCAACCACCCCACGATCGCACCAAGAAGCGTGTGCGATGGCAAACAAGTTATTATTAGATACTTTGCATCTAACTCCTAATGGTATGATCCAGGCTACGGTGTGCTGTTGTGGGTGCCGCTTACCAAGAACATCCATCCCATCCAAAGCCTCGGGCTTCCTCTCCTAGGCCCAGGTTTTTCCTTAGGTCGGGGTATGCTCCTTGTCCCAGAATTGGCAAAAAGAAGAAAAAAAACCCTCCAGTGTTCCGCCAGATACGATACTCAACGAGAAAAACCCCTACTCCACCGGCAATGCCTAAATGGCCTATTTCCACAAGGCCCGCCAAATGGGTTCATAGAGCATAGAGGGCCCCTAAAAGGACCTAGCACGCACCCGGTTGGAAACTAGTTCCTGGTCCATATTCCCGGGAAGCTGCCGGCCCGATTTTGGGTTCAGTTAGTCCTGTGAATCCCTTTGTGGTCTCAGAAATATTGCCTGACGACTGTGGAATTCGGAACGAGCAGTTCCGACTGGTCAGTTCCCGTGGAAGCTCGAAAACCAGAAACTTCTTAAAATCTCTGGCGGTGGTTGCAGTTCCCCTTACACCTCCGGGCCTGCCCCCGTAGCCCATTTCACCATCTTTGCACATTATTTTGAGCCCCGACTGGGGCCTTCATGTGAAGTCCACCATATCCATATTCCATTGCTATCCACTCCTCATAGCATTCCCCATATTGCGCAATCCAAGCACATCACCTCAAGCGGCTCAGGATGCGTTATCTCATGCATGGGTAGCAGCACCAGGCCTTCGCATTTGGTGCAGAGATTTGGTCTGCCCTTTTCGCAGTATCAAACTCCATTACGTGACCCCATGCACTGGTATCCACTCCCCCCAAGGGGCCAATAAAATATAACAAAGACAAACAACGCGATTGGGTGAGGCTTTCGGCACAATCCCAGGAGCATTACCCTCACGGCCCGTCACTCGTACACTCCATCCCCGTCCTGGATTCGTGTGATGATATCGACAGATTGATTCCTTCAATCTATCCCCACAACGCCAATATGTAACGCAAGGCAACCCATAGTTTATATTCCCCAGCCCCTGCCCACGATTCGCCAATTCTCGTCTGACTGATCTCACACAGGTGCCTCCCTCACCAATAGTTTCATTGTCCCCCGCATGTTTTTCATTCACACTTAACCCAGAACGGTTCGAGCGTACGGGTGGTGTGCCCCGCGCGGGCTATGATCGGGCCACGGGAAAACTTATAGTATCCCAGGTGCGCCCTGGAAGCTATTATCGTTGGTTGGAACGGGATTCCCACCTCTTGGAATCGCACATGTGGTCCAGTAGCGATGGTAGATGTCTCTGGATCCATCGCCTGCGGAACCAACCTGGCAGAGCATTCGAGCACTGTACAGGGGATGGGCGTGTCGTATCGGGTATGTTAGAAACTTGAGATACCGCACGCCATCATAGGCTCGCCTCTCGGTAGTGCTGACTCCACCACCGCCAGGCTTTCTTACCTGCAATGCTAGATCCCAGGAAACTAGCGATTCGATGTGACCGGCCAACCAGACAACCCTGCTCCGGTATGTCCACCGGCGGGTGGTTTGTATGAGGGGTTTTTGTCGTGTTTGTGTCGTTTTGCGGGGGATTGTTTGTTTCTACGCTGTTGCAATACGGGAACGTGAAGTACAGCGCCTTTGCTATGGATGCTATGGATAGCTGCGGCCCCCAGTGGTGGACTAGGATATCCCCTCAACCAGATTTGATAGACCCTAGCGGCTGTGTTTTCTGTTTTCCTTCGTTACTTCTGGCTCTCCTTTCAAAAATTAACGGAAGCCTGATGCGGAGCATAGATCGTGGGGCTGCGAGTCCATCTCACGAAGTTCTGCTCTATCCATCCAAACAGTTGGCCATAGGGAATCTACTCGACCGATGATAATTTAGAATCTAGAGAAAATGCTAAAAATACGCCGGCTTATAGCTCTCGTGATCTCACTCAATCCCGTTCTGAGCAAGGGCCCGCATTGCGATGGGAGCGCAACAGGCCTCGTACATTACTATTATAACTCTGTGATACCGGCAACCCTCGAAACCTGCCGGCCCTAACCCACGATGGTAAACGAGATAGAGCACTCGTATTGCGCGCACTAAAGGGTTAGAATGCATTCCAGCTAAAAAAAGCCTTCCATCTCCGCCACCCAAATCTGCACCAAAACTCGCAGGTGCAGTACGTACAGCCCTTGGCCCACACTCCCCCCCTCAAAAAAAATCGTAGCGAAGGCCAAAGTGGAAGTTCAATACCGGTACCCGAGTGACACATTATGAGTGCCCTGCCCCGCGGCCCGTGGCGGTTCAGGCTCCAACGGGGCTGAAGACACGGACACTCACCTCACCCCACTCCGCGCCACAGCAGCCTACCGGTACGGTATGGCACTCGATTAGAGCAACGGTAACACAGTTACTCGTAGACTACGCGAAGCCTGGTCCTCCGACTGAACTGGCGATCGCGCCTGGGAAAACCTGCGAGTTACGGGCCAACATATTTCCCTTTTGCCAATTCCGTGGGGTTGTTTTAATGCACATTTGACAGGAGCGATACGGTAGCTGGCCAGCTGGGCGATACAGTATAATACCGGTACCGGTATATATCGCATAGCCATCCATTATGCGAAAAATGCATGTTGGACGCGTGTGGAAATGAAGGTTTTGACCCACATCTACGCCTACGGTGCGGCAGAAGGAGCTGCGGATTGAACTGGGATGGTGCAGCGGCATGCGAGCACGGTATTGCAGCCGGATTCAGTTATCGCTCTCGGGGATAGGGAGAGTGGAGAGGGTGATTTACGGTGTTTGAAGTGCGGTTCGACGCTTTGAGGGTTGGGTTTGTGAGCAGTTTTCCGCATCAATCCCCGTCATTTGTGATGTTTTTTTTTGGGAGGCGATTGAGGGAATAGGGTCGATTTATTCGATTCGATCCCGGGGTATGCGCTAACGACAAAGAAACCTCGTATCATACAGCCATGGAGCCAGGCACCAGAGTCTTATGGAACACCAAAGGGTTGTCTATCTAGAGGCTAGCGGTGTATACGATATGCCGCCCGAGGATTTAGGGGTACAATTCCCGACGAATAGCCAGTACGCGCATACTGGTATTGTATTCAATATACTGGGGCTGAGGAAGGTGAGACTGGGGAGTGGATGCTCGTGGGTCACGGGTGGCAAGGCGCCGGCGGTGGGATGCACTCGAGTCTCGGCATGCCGACCACTCATGTTTGCATTCCCTCCCCACGCGTTTCTCTCATCCTATTGCACCTTTTTTCAACCATTCATCGCCCGCCCTCCCCCAGCATGCTCTCGCGGCCGCTCCACGCTTTCATCGTCAAAATTCCCACAATTCCCACCGAAGATGGCAAGCGTCCGCCTCGATGAGACCCGCTCGGGGGGAAACAAACCTCCAAGTGAACGTACCGGTATTACAACACGAACAGGAGGGATACTGTAATACGGTAGAATAAAAGCTAAACTTAAAAATAACACGGGGGAACATAGGGTGGGGAAGAAAAAAGAAAACGTGCAGAGGTTTCAAATGTACTTCGTACTCGTACGGTATTAATTTGCGATCACAGTGAGCAAAGCTCGGGGGGGTTGATAGTCTATGGCTACCTTCGGTTGAGAAACGAGTAGCGCACGGGTGCTCTGAAAAATTGCGCGCCGCAATTGGCCCTGGTACTCGAGCAGGCTATTGGGTTTTTTATGCGATGCAAACACCATTATGAGTGTGGGACCGGGGCCACCATATGATTCGACGAGGGATATTTCCACGCACCCCCCAGGAACCTCTCGCTCAGCTTCTTTGTTTTTTCCCGTCACGATGTGAGAGGGTAGAATACGGTGGACAGATACAATTTTGGAGCACGGTAATTTGGTCTCGATGGGGTATCGCGTTTGGGAAGACGCAATTAGTCGCGCTGCTTGTACTCGAGTACAGTACGGTACGCGGGCTCCCATGAGTTGGATGGCGGCCCGGCGTGGAGATAATATGATAGGGCAGGAGATGGTGGATACCGGTGGTGGAGCAGGCTGGCTGCGAGGTAATATGGAGAAGGGAATGCTGTCCGCATTGGTGGTGGGCTGGGCACAGCACAAGAGACCGCTCAAGCATAGTGCGGTAGGAGTAGGATGGTACAGGCAGAGCAAAGAGCTTGACGCAGCCTTCTCGCGTAGCAAACACGAAGTGTTTGCCCGAGGATGTCGGATGCTGGCTGCTGCCTTATGAATGCAAGTACAGGAACGGTACTCCCTCACGCTAAAGCATGTCGCGGTTACGAGGAGTATAATAGCGATACCGGTACAGAGCCGGATGCGATGATAGCTACAGTCACGGTGGTGGTTTAATCCACAGCCCTGGGGGGGATGCATCGAGTGGCTCATGCACCGATATTCTCGGAGACACTGCATGATACCGTACCGATATCGAGGACCAATGGAGCACTCGAAGCATGCTCGAGCCGGTGGCATGTCCCTGTATGCACTGCGGAGGAGTCAGAGGTGGTGATGAGAGGGCCGGGGAAGGTTGAAATTTATTGCAGTTCGAGAAGGAAGGCTCCCCAGTCCGTGAGGGTGGAATGAGGCTCTTCGCGTGGATGCTGCCCAAGAGAGAAAGCCGGACAACGAAGTGTTTCTATTCCGAGAGGGAAGAGCCTTCCTGTCGGCGTCTTTCTCTTTTGCTCGCATTGTACTGGTATCGTAGTACGGTACGTGTCGGTTGCCAGGATGACTTCCTTGGCGGGAGGAATCAATCACTCGGCTGACGATGGCGATGATGATGATGAAACGCTTCCTAGCCTTCTTCCTTCCTGTTCCTTGCCCTCCCCTCCCTCCACCCTTGAGCTCTTTCTGTGACATGCTTCCTTGCCGGTCATGGCACAGGGCAAGCGATTCTTGTTATGGCACTCGAGTGCAAATATCGGTATCGCGTTGCCTGGATGGGGAAATAGCTGACCCGAGTCGTTATGGTATCGCGGATGTTAGTCATCACACGCGTACGGTAAGTTACTGGGGGAGCTGTCTTCCTTCAGTAGTGATAAACCACGTCACGCTGCACGCCGGAGGGAGGCACTCGAATTGAGTGCAAAAAGGGTGCGTGTGTGTGTATGCGTGTGTCTGTGTCAACCTAATTTCATTCTTTCTACATGCCAACTATATGGTTGTCGTGTGTCTGTGTGTGTGTCCTATGGAATGCACGAGTACGGTATGGGGAGGGAGAAGAAATTAAAAAAAAAAAAAAAAAAAAAAAAAGTAGTGTGGCAGCAACCAGCGAGCATCAATCATCACCACCAGAGGCAGAGGGAAAGATAAGAAATAACAAAAATAAAAATAACAAGAGCAAAAAAAGCTGCCAGACCAAAGGAATCCGTGCATAGCAAAGCGAGATACTGCATAACATCTCTTTCCCTTTTTTTTTCATTCTTCTTTCGTGCTCCCAATGGTAGACTTATTTCTCCCCAATCAACGCATTGAATGTAGGAAGCACCATCGTCGACAGTCATCGCCTGGTCTTCCCACTGCGTTGTGCTGTTTTCCCTGTTCCCTGGTCCGGCTTCCCCTCCTCTTCCTCCTACTTCTTCCCTCCCATCCCCTCCTCCCCTTCCGCCCCTTCCTCCCTCTCCCCTCTCCCCCCTCCTCCCTCCTCACGCATCCTAGCCTTCTCTTCTCGCTGCGAGCCTTTTCACTTTTATACCTTACTTCTCCCCTTCCCTCCTTCTATCGGTGCCTTATCACTCCTCCGGATAGCGGATGGTTTGATTGTGTTCGACAGGCTTTGGCTTACAATTTCAACCCCCTGACCGATATTCACAGCATTGTGATCATTCCTCTACCGCTGCCCGGCAATCCGTCGTAGCTCGAGCCATCGGGCGTCGCCACAGTGAAGATGTCAAATTATTACGGAGCCCCGCCCTCCTCCCCTTTTTATGCCCAGCAACCGCAACCGTCCTTGCATGCCACTCCCGGGGCCCCACCCCCGCAACACCAGCACCAACAGCAGCAACAGCAGCAATCACCCTATGCAGCGACTTCTCCCGTCTCCGCTCAAAGCTATTCCCCCTCACCTCCGCAACCAGCTCCGCCGAGACCACACACAACCGCCCCCTACCCTGGCTCTAGCTTTGGCCCCCCGCTATCTGCGGGACCCGTTGGTTATTACCAGCAGTTTCCGCCCCAGCAATCGCAGCAGCAGCAGCAGCAACCCCAACAGGGTTATCGCCCTCAGCAACCGCCGCAAGCGACATCAGACTACGGAGACTCGCAACAACCGCAGCCACCGAGAAATGGCTATGCTCCAGCACCTCCGGCACCATCCGTGGGATACCCTTCCGATATTCCACAGCTCGCGAATAGTCACGGTTTACCGCAGGACGTAGTGCAGAAGCTTGCAGCCGACTTGATGAGGAGTATCCAGCAATCCAATATAACCTCGCCCACAGTCGCTCCGGCCGGGCCTCCCCCAAGACTTGATCACCCCACTATGCCTGGAGGGCTGCCAGCCCCCGGTATGGGACCACCCCCGTCCCAACCGCCGCCGATGATGCAGCAGCAACAGCCTCCCCAAGCGCAAATTCCCGGCTCTTTTCCTTCCTACCCTCCGGCTCCTGCTCCACATGAACCTCCACAGGTCCCTCATCACCAGTACCGGCAGCCACAGCAGCAGCAGCAGCAGCAGCAACAGCAGCAGACACAAGGGTTCCCACCGCAACAGCAAGGGTACTTTCCACCGCAGCCGATGCTTGGAAATTCCGCTCCGCCGGCTCCTCCCGCTCCGCCCCCGGTTAGCCTTGGAGGCCCACCGCTAGGTCCTGCTCACCCCCAGATACAGCAACGACAGAATGATACTCCACGCCGTGAGACTTCTCAGCGATATAGGTCAAATACTGCTTCGACCCATCGCAGCCATTCATCAACGCCGGCAACTTCGACTTCTTCCGGTCCCGCTGCTAGACTTACCAAGATGGAGGGTGGGGGCGTGCACGGTGAGACGTGGGGAGATTTGGTTGATCATGAGCACGGAAAGGAGCCAATGCCGAAGGAAAGGTTGGTGCGCCTGCTACGAGGAATTGCAAATCACATCGTAAGTTTACCTCTGCACCGTGTCGGATGTGTCGGGTTAACCTCCGGTAGATCAAGGAGCGAGCGCCTGCAGCGAGCATTGTCATCGCCCCCGAAAAGATGGCCGATTTTTATGCGGCTAATGCTGTGGAAGGTGATGATCGTATGAACTGGAAAGGTTGATATATACCGGCTTTCCGATATTTTGTAAAGACGTTTGCTGACCCGTTCCTCCAACCTAGGTTACTTCACCAACCGGACAGAATCCTCCTTATCCTCCATTTATAGGGTCTTGGGCTGCGAGCACTATTATGTCCCTATGAGTCGTGACCAGAAGCCCACCATCCCAGCTCTGACTCCTCAGGGGTTCGAAACCTGGATGTTTACTCAGCTCATGACTAACCCTTCGCGTGAAGCGTCCCGGCTACAAAAGGTTGTGGCGTCGTGGCCAATTTACGACACGAAAGAGGGTCGGAGATTCCCGACATCCATACCCAGGTGCTGTTTCCCTGAGAAGGAGGACTTGGTGATTTTCGAGGGATGGTGGCGAGTGTGGGAAGAGTTTCCGTCCGATTTTGAGGACGAAGAGGAGGAGCGAGCTCCTTTAGCCTTACCGGCACCAGGCGACGGCAACGGTAACAGATTCTATGGGCCTCCTCCGCTCCAGGGCCCCCTACCGGGAGCCGATTATGGCCCTGCTGCACAGATGGCGAGGAAGAGGACGCAACAAAAATACCCCCCGAACCCGCGTGACCTGAATGATGATGAGTTGGATGCTATTATTGAGAGCGGAACGGATAAGCCTCCCACGATGGAAAGACACCGTAAGCCCTACGCCTCTAGTACGGGGAATCCTGGATGGAAAGAAGAGCTAAACCCTCGCCCTACTCTTGGTGAAGACAAAGCATCCTCGACACGAAACGGCCCTCCACCACCATCACGCCCGCATACCTCTCATGGCCATCATCCACCACGGGATGCTCGAGAGTTCCGAGAGGAACCCTACGCGAAACCAGTTCCCGATAGGGACCCCCGTGACCCACGCGATCCACGCGATCCCCGAGACCATAGAGAGCCACGGGAGCCCAGAGAGCCTCGGGATCCTAGAGACCCAAGGGAGCCACGGGACCCACGGGATTTGTCAGACTCACCCGATGCTCCTGTCAGGCGGAGTAAGTCGACCCGCCGCCCCCATCAACGAGAGCGCTCTGAATATCGCCGCCCTCATCGACACTCCCACTCCCACCACCGTGGCGGTGGTCGCCGCGAGCGATCTCCCGCGGATGAACATGACCAGGAATGGTCTGGATCGAGTGGCGTATCTGCCCAAACTCCCACCAGTGCCCCGGACGCTGGTGTCCCAATACCAGGTGCCGCTCCCGCTCCACTTCCCCCAGACGCACAAGACCGGCGGTCTCGTGCCCAGCGCAAGGCAGACGAAGCTGCCCGAGTTGCACGTCAGCAGGAGGAGCTTCTTCGAGGGTATGGGCCCCCCGGGCGCTTTGAACCCCCTGTCGATGCATACGAGTATAACCCCTCTTTCTATTTCTATGCTTTTCTTTTTGTGTGATGGATCTGAAGCTTACAATTGCGACATAGGTATGATGATTTTCCCGTGCCGCCGCGGGGCCGAGGGGGAGAGAGAGATGATAGGAGGGTGGCCGAGTACGGCTACCAGGATGAGTACGACAGGGACCGGCGTGCTCCACCCGGGGGTGGCGCGGGAGCAGGCAGACGGAGCAGTCTTTATGGTGGGGAGAGGGGAAGACCGAGAGATCGCAGTTCATACTGGGCCCCATGATGTTGACGATCCAAGATTTGGATGGGCCGTATGGGCAGCGATGGCAGTTGCCGCTTGGTTGTGAGATGATTTGATGTTGGGTTCGTGCTTTTTATTTTTTTCATCACGGTTGAGTAAAAGTTTTGTGATGCGGCTTGGGATTTTGTCTTGGATTTTCCCCATTTCCCCATTCGAGCGTGTTTTAGTACCGTTTCGTTTCAGCGATTTTTTTCTTCTTTTGCCGGTCACGAGGTCATGATATATGTATACCCTCTTCATTTCCGTTGCCTGGTGTTTTTTTTTATATGATACGAACGAGTTGGCGATGGCCCGGACCGGTAGTTCTTTATTTTGGCATCTATTTTTTTTTTCTTTTCTTTCCCTCAAATCTCAATTCTCTGGGATAGCATTGGTGTACGTTAGGTAAACGGAAAAGCTGAAGTGAACACCGTTATTCTTGATCAAAGAATTTTCTTGTGATGTCTTTGTGAGCACTTCATAATGGGTTTCGTCGTTGAGGGTGTCGCGAGTTTTTTGTGCTAGGCTAGGGACCACCATGGCGGATGGGAACTGTGTTTTCGAGGGGGTATGAAGCTGTAACTTGGCCTTTCGGGAAACTCAGTGCTGTGCGGTATAATATAGCGTGTTGGAGCGGAAAGAGGGTTAGACGCGAAGATGAAGGTGAACCTGCTCGAATCCCCACGGTGGAGCTTCCATCAAAACCAAAACTCGGAACCCGGGGCAAAAAAGGGAGTACAGTATCCAACATACCGTAGCGTCGGAGCGTCTCCTACTCTCCTGAATTTCCTCTCCTCGCTGCTAGACGTCAATTGAGACTTCCAGATTTTGACATTTTCGGTGTGTTTTAACTGATTCGCTTCCCCGTCCAACACCCTACGGGTAACTTTTGCTCTGTCCATTCTTGCATGCCTTCCGAAACAGAGGTTTAGCTGGGTGAGTTCATATATGATCACTCGAATGTGCGACAACTCTCGCCGGATCGTGTTGCAGTTTCCGACCACCGCATCCGCTGTCCGCTGTGCCTTCTCCAGCGGCCCTTGGGGTCCTTCGGAGAAAATGGATAAGGTACGTGTCCATGGCTCAATCAATTGTGTGGCCTCTCACAACATATCATGCTTTGATCACACCCTCCAGCTAGAGCTTTGGGCACCATCTGGCACCACCATCTTTCTGGAGCTGTTCGGTCACCTTCACCTCAACAACTCGCTCTGGGCCGGATTCAGTGCTGTAATAATGGTAACGCTTGGCACTCCATCATTTGTAAATCATGGTGTGATGCGATACCGGAAAATTTCCATCCTACCCTACCGTTGTACAAGTACCAGTACTGTACTGCACGGGCCAAATCGGTCAGGTCAGGTTTTCACCTCAGGGTGATTTCTGCACTTTCAATTTCTCCAAGCGATCGTGCGCACCTGTGTTCGTCCACTTGGCGCTGACACACCTGGCAGTAAGTATTAGAAGTCTTGTGCCGTGCTCTGCCGGTAACTTATGTTGTTCCAGAATTCTGGGAGCGCGGGCAATGCGTGGATCGCAACGGTATCAATACTACTCGTAGTAGTATAGATTTCTGGGGCATCGGTGGTGTCATGTATTATAAAGCACGTCTTATTCCGTGATATGGTTGTTGATTGGAATGCGGGATTGATCTGTTGTATTTGGGGCTACATTGCTAGAAAGCTCTATATACGATGATTTTAAATAGATTCATAATATTATTATTGTATATATAGGGCCCGGTAAAAGAAGCAACGAGATTATATGTGAGAATTTGTCATGATAAAGCACGCTACAAAACTAGGCTGTTTGTGAAGCGGATGGGGGGGCGCTTGGCGGACTGGTGTGTACAGTAGGGTACAGTACAGTACAAAAAACCGTTGTCGGTCATTTCTACACTTGTGTCGCCCCCACGACTTTACCACACGGAAGGATATCTGGGGATAACAAGCAAATCCAACGACGGCGTCCCGGGCGGGCCTCGGAATGTTTCCAAATACCGCCTCGAGCACCTTGCACTACCATCCAAACTTGACCGCTGATCTCGAACTCTGTTAGCTGTGGCCCCAAGCTCCGATATTTTGCAATCTGATTGGATCCCATCTGTTTTATTTAGGCTAGTGTTTCGGGATCATTCCGGCAGGGGAAAGGAAGCTTAATTGGCGAGGTTTGGAATTTGTAGGGTTATGTATGACTGGCGGCTCACCGGGGGTCTCTGATTGTGAATGTTTCCCAGAGAGTCGGCGTCTGCTCTCCCGTGCCCGTGAGAATTGGGATAATTGAGAATCTCGCTAGGAGGTTGGAGTTGCCTCTGTTAATTAGTAAGGCCCCTTGTATTTTTCCTTTTTACTTGTCTCACCTGAGGGCTAAAAGAAAATATTTTATCACCTTTTTTCTCCCTTTGGTCCAAAGGGGGAAATTCGGACGTCCTAGTGCCATTCTTCTTATGGCCCTTCCATATTCCCGCCCCAGTGAATTTGGCTGTTTCTTTATAGCTTGTGTTTTTCGGGTACTCTACCGGTAGGGCATGATCCCCTGCTTCGGATTGCTAAGCTCTCTTGACCGGAGCAACGCTTCGATCCAAAAAGGTCCGGTCGTAGTAGCGCCAGCGATAACATCAGTCAAATATTTAGCAAACTCTGGATGCCGTGGTGCTAGCATCGGGGTGTGGATAGGCATCTCCCTTGTTCTGAATCGCACGAAAACACTCCCGGCTGTGGTCCGGCCATCTGGCCAATGGCGTCCCTCTCTTCCTTGGATACATGCAGGGGAGTGCTGGCAGAGTGCGGTGTGGGGGGAGCGATACCCCGATCAGCCCGATAACCGTATCATTGGCAAAGGGCAGCATAACGGAAGACTTTATAGGCATTATATCATGGCAAAGCGATCAGTCCCTCACACTAATTCATAAGTTTGAAGAGATGCAGGTACCAACGACCAACCAGTTACTGTTATGATACTAAGCATCGCCACCTATCAGAATTCAGCCCTAACTTACATGTCACCGCCCCATTATCAGGTTGGTGCCATTGCAGAAAGGAAAACAGCGCAGCCCCCGAAAACCCCCCACACCAGCCGGTTTTTTTCATAGGCTTAAAAGTAACTTATCTTGTTCCCTGTCGGACAACCGCCTTTCCAATTTTCTGACTCACCATTTTAGCCAAGCGGGCGTCAACCAGACCCCAATCTATTGCTTGGGTTTAATACCCATGGCGATGATCTGCCCTGCCTGAAGCCACCTCACGCTGATATCGGCACACCACCTCACCTCACCACCCCAACACACCACCACATCGCCGTTCCCACGAGCAGCGTTTTCGCTTTCGCCCCATGGGTCGTACAAAAAGGAATATCGCCGATAGCCGGCGAAAGGAGCGGAGTCAGAGAAACCTGGTCAATAGCATCGAAAAGAGAGATGAAGAAATATACGAATGCATCATCGTGCGGTTTGTTGCCTCCAGTTTCATTTTTTTCTTGACGGGGTCAAAGTATGGCGACTGATTCCGCCAGACTTCCCGACGAGATCGGGGCATGTGGAGGGACACGAGAAGGCGTGAACACTCCGGTGACCAACGGTGGAGTCGTTCAAGCTGTGCACTCAGCGGAGCATTTGACATGCCCGAACGGTACGCTCTCCATAAGAGCGTCCGAGGCGAGAAATACACGTTTGCGGGCTCGGGCAAAAGTCTTTGCGCCAGAGCCCGAGCAGGGTGCGTTGACTCCAATCCGCGGGGTACGAGCGCGGGGATCGGTGTGTGGAAACCGAATACACAAAGCTCCACAAGCAGAGATGAGCAGGATTTCCATCTCCCCACAGCGAGCAGTTACTCGTAAAAGGGAAGCGAGAGCGGCGGATACGCCCGCGAAAAATCCGCCAGCGAGGCGGGGTGCCCAGAATTCGTCCAACCATCATTCCACATCCACCGTGGAAACACCCAAGTCAATCCTTAGGCGGAGCACCAGAAAAATCCCTGTTTCATATTTTCCGCCTGCGGAGACGAGGCGGAGCCTTGCGGGGCCGGCTAAGAGGGCTAAGGCGCGAGTGATCCAGGAATCGGGGGCTATTATATTTCGCCCAGAGATAGACGCTGACATCCCAACTGAATTTGAGGAGAGTAACGTTCGGGCAGATCTGACGGGTGAGTATCCGTAATCTCTCCCGGGGTATTGTCTCCCAAGGGCAGAGGATGGAAATCGCTGATGAACGAACAGGTAGACCGGCCGTTCCAGTGGGGCGGGGTGGGGGATGAGTCAATGTGTGAAAGATCCGACTGTTCGGATCACTGCTTTATGGTTCTGGAGTCTATGCTGTAGCAATTCAGGTTCTGTATGAGTTTATGAGATCCCAGAGGAAATGTATTTCTAAGGGGGCACGAGAGGCATTTGCTTTCTGGTCGGAGCACGATTTTATTTGTCAGCGTTTGTGAAGTTTCAAGGGAGGGGTCGTATTTTTCGGGCGCGCATTTTATGAGTATCAGACTTAACTTCCGACAAGCGACGGGTTACATATATGGGCCTGGGACAGGTCGTCTCCGTAGGTATGGGAGTTCTGGAATGTTTACACAACTTGTTTGCAAGAGAGAGAGGGGGAGAAATTCAACAGTGTGGGATCGAACCTTAAAGACAGATTCCATCATTTCCGGTTTGAGAAAGCAAAGGCTATGCACAAGGATGGGCTCTCTGCTCGTAGAGTGACGTGATAGCTGTTTCGATAGCCTAACTATATCAGGTTGATAGGGGGGACCGTGTGAGGAGCGCGGGGGATGGCCCAAAATCTGATAGCCATCATGGTGTATGCACCAGATGTCCTGTCCCGGAGACACCCGACCAAAATGGGAGCCTTGACTTGAATATGTAGAGAACGTGATGTAGGAGGCGGGTTGATCGGCATCGATATCGGGAAACCCCAATTCAATTCTCCATGTGGAACTGAGATTAGACCTTTCTCTGTTCTTTGGGATTATCGGAGTCGAAGGGGCAGGGATGATCAATGCCACAAGCGGTCACCCCCCTTCAACCTCGCGTCTACTGTACTAATTTACGCAGCTGGGAACGGTTGATCCCTCCGGAATGTAGGATACGATGGTTTAACCCTGTAGCCTGCCGGTAGATGGGCCCTCAGGCGAGTGCTGTAGCTGTAGGAATACTATCGCACCCGCTACAACGAATCCCCAGCATCAGGGGTTTCCCTCTTGGCAACGAGGAGTAGTTCAGCATTGCCAGAAAACCAAATCTGGGGTCGTGAGTAAGCAACGACGAAGAATTTTAAAGAGAGAGTAGGGTGGAGGGAAGGTGATGGAAAACAACGCTGGATTACCTCTAGGCCAAGTAGTACAAAATGCCGCCAACTGCAGTAGGCTGGAAATTTTTAGCTTAGCTTGGAGTTTGAACCATGGAGCCTTTTCCCGCCTTTGATCCTGTTGCGCTGATATGAAATTGGTGATATTTGTTGAATTTGAAGGAGAAAGGGTGAAATACCACGAATATATATACATGTTTCTGAACACGAATCCTACCTCTTCCAAGTGCAATCCTCGTTGCCCAAGCTCTAACCCCGTGTAAAGCAGATTTGTCATGTCTGCAAGAACGCAAGATTTCTACCCTAATCATGCACCTAATCTTCGTCTTCACAAACGCAGCTCTGGCTGATTATCACCGGGGCCCTCTAAGGATCAACCAGGAAATATTTTGCCAAAAATAGCAAATCATACACTCTCAGTTGGCCACACAATGTCGACCTCAAACTCCCTGATAACTAGCGCACATCCTGAAAAAAAAAAAGAAGCTTACACTTCCAGACAAATCCCCCCCCCCTCACCCCCACAGCAGTAAAATTCCCCTCCAACCCAAAACCACAATTCCCTTTCTTCATCAGCTGCTGGCACCCGCCCTATACAGGCAACCCACCAGTTTGCGTAACATTCTACTTCTGCTCCCCATTTGAGTTCCCTATCGTTAGTCTGTGCCATTGCTATACTCCTTATATTCTGTGGAAGGCCCCTATAAAGCTATTGAAACCTGGATGTAATGTCATCGTATTCAGGAAACTATTTCTTGCTTGCCTTAAACTACATTCTTTAGGCACCTGTTGCTCGATCACGGCTAGTATTAGGTCTGGAAATTGTGCCCGGCGTGTTTAGATCACAGGGAAATATCAGCTTGTACTGGTCCGCGTTGATTTCTAGCAACTAGGATGCCAGCTAGGCATGTCCAACTTCGGTTTAAAGCGGTAAGATTTCCGCATAACTGATTTGATCTCAATGGACATTCTGATATTTGTTCTGAGTTAGGATAATACATCTTCTCTTGAATGGGGAAAAGGAAAAGAAAAGGAGAAGGAAAAGCAATAGGTCACTCTCTGGGAAAGGACAATGGCAGTGGGAGAAACCGTTTCACCCCTCAGAGAGAACGGAAATCTGCTCCGCATGTTTGTTGTCTCCGACATCGGTGTATTTGTCGGAAAGTGGTCCGCTCCTTTTTTTCTACCTTTCCTCTGCCACCCTACTGTGGCGAGCTGTTTTAGCGATAGTGTTTTTGAGCAGTGGTTAGGGCTTTTGAGCATAAGGATAATGGTAGTAGGTTTGGTAGGATGCAGGGCTTTTGGGGGGGGGGCAAGGGACTGTGTTTCGGTTGATTTGTGGGGGGGCACTTGGGAATAGGACTGCCGGGGCCCTATTGGGAGAGGACAACCCACACAAGAGACAACTACAGTGCGGCTTAGTTTTCATCTGTCTTGTCTGGGGAAAAGGACGTTGTTTTTTTTCCTTTAAGACAGGATTTTCTTTAGTTTTTCTATCCTCTGGAGAGAGAGGCCTTTGTTTTACTTTTGTCTTCGGCTTTTAGGTTTCTTTCTTTACTTTTAGAATTTATTTACTTCGTCTGAAAAGCCAGAGCAAGTTCGTCCACGCCCTGGCCAGCCTACCCTCGCCTCACAGAACTGTCTAAGGAGTGTAGACTCCAATACTACGAAAAGCTAAAAACCGAGTTTTCCCACCTCCATTAGAAAGAACCCTGGGTCCTATGAGACTCAGTATCATTATTCTAATGATGTCTCCCTTCTATTCATGAGAAAAGCCTTAATACCCATTGAGAAATCCGAGTTACTTAAAAGCCACTTCACGGTACCTAGAGGTGGTATAATAGAATTGCCACATTCTAGTGGCATCCAGCATGGAGTTTGCAGTGCCCTTCAAGGCGCCGCACGTAAGATTACAGCGGTTGGGAGTTTCTGATTCTGTCTACCATTTTTTCCCTGGTAATTTCTCCCTCTCTCATATTTCTGCTCGGAGGCTTATTCGCCTCACTCTCTCCATTAATTACCGTGATGGTATTTGACCAAATATCACACCAAATATAATACGAGATAGCCGGGATGCTGATATGTTAAGTTTTAATGAAGAAAATATCATCCGCATCCACACCCTCAGTGCACGGCTTCTTGGAAATTGCGCAGTCAGTGAATGAGCCGCAGTGTTCCCAACCGTCCCGGACAGGGTGGGTAAGGATGGCAGGGCATGGAGTCCGTCTTTGATAAAGACCGCCGTCTGAGGGGTTGATGCCTGGGCCCGGGAGTCTTAATACAAATGGCATCTTCCGGCCACCCTCACCAGGACCCAGCCATCATTCACAGAGCCCGACAGCATTGGCGGGGCCCGGCCGTGATCTGTAGGGGCCTGCTCTCATCTGTAGGGCCATTTGCGGGTGAGACACCTATAGGGCCTGGCCGGCCGTCCTGGGTAGTGGTTAGAATGGACCACAGGACGGGCGTCCGTCCAAGGCAGAGTTCCATAAACCGATGTCCGTCCCGTTTCAAGCCAAGGAAGGGCGGACTAGATGCTTGGGAATACTCTATACATCCGGTGTGTGACTTACAGGACCCACAGGACACCAACTGTTACAGAGAATGCAATGATCATAGATGCCAGAAGTCAGGATGGAAGAAGAACACAACCAAGTAGTACTACAATTTACAGGATACAAGCAAGCACTACTTCAATTTTCAGAATGCTACACTTAGGTGGCTCCTGTAACATGAGTTACATGAAGCATATAAATCTTAAGTTTAAAAATAAAGGATATTTCTAGTTATATTGATTTTATATACAGCTACTCATCAGAAGTGTTCGTGAAACATACTGGATTAGTAAGTTGCCTTACCAAAATCGCACAACAACTACTACCTACTGATAATACAGTAATAAAGCTACCAACTTGCAACAATCAGGATACCTACTAGTACTAGTGAAGATCTTGCAACTGTGAAGTTATTTCTGTAGGATTCTGTACTGCTCTTGTTTTTTGATTTTTTAAACCATAATCATTAAATATGAAAAAGATAGCTACTAGTATTTTAATAAACTATAAGAAGACTAAACATATCATACAGAAAAATGATTAATACTAAGAAGAATTAGCAATTGCTCTTTTCTATTAACTCTAGAATATCATCATGATTTCTCAAATTCTGAGATGACTCTGTCAGTGCATTTATTTTGAAATACACTTCTCTTATTACCCTGATTTAGATCTCATTGAATTCAAATTGATTGAGCTTAAGAGATGATTGAACTAACAATACTTGGTAATTTAAGATATCTTACAGCTACTAATCAGAAGTATTTGTACTCTGAGACCTGTCTAACTACAATTGCATAATTAGGAAGATCTGATTATGAGATAATAGTGGATTCATTTATGGTGTATTACAATGATAAGTAAACATAATTAAATAGCATAGATTATAACTACAACAATTATTTAAATAGTAAAAGTAGACTTGCTAGCTATTAATTTGTATAACTTCTTAGTTTTAATCATTTCTTTTCATAATGTGTTTAGTCTTCTTTTAGTTGATTTGAATACAAAGAGCTTCATATTTCATGTTTAACTAATTATAGTTAAAAAGGTTCAAAAAATAAATGCAGCCCAGATCTCTACAGAAATAACTTTATAGATATAGAATCTTTACTATTACTGGTAGATATCCTCATTGTTGCAGGCTAGTAGGTTTATTGTTGTAGGTAGGTAGCCTCCTTATCACTTGTCACACTACCATCGATGCCCCCACTCTTGCCGACCTGTACCTCAGTCACATCTGAAAACATCATAGTCTTCCGAAAATGATCACATCTGACCCGGGCATGCACTTTATAGCAGACTTCTGGAGAACCATATGCAAGTGACTTCAGATTGAGTGAAAAAATGTCAACTACTTTTCACTTACAGACTGACGGCCAAACTGAGCCCATTAACACCATCATGGAATAGTACCTGAGGGCCTTCATCGATTACCAGCAGGACGACTGGTTCCTCTGGCTCCTTATGGCAGAGTTTGCAGCTAACGTCTATACCTCAGAGTCTCCTGGCTTGTCTCCCTTCTTTGCCAATCACAGGAATGACTCCTGTACAGATATCTTAGATGCTCCTGAGGAGAAGCTCCTGAGGAGATGTCTGATGAACCCATGGCCGGAACCTTTGTGAATTGCATCAAAGACATCCCTGACCACTTGAGAACCGAGATCGCCTTCATCCAGGACTGGCAGCAAGAATACACGAATAAAGGAAGACTCCCAGCCCCTCACTTCCAGATTGGAGATAGCGTTTGCTAGTACTGCTTTAAACCAACCCCTATATGCTTACCTCTCTCAAC